TCTCAAGATAGGCTTGCCTGCTGCTGGTGCTACACAGATATTTCTGGTGATTACCGGATACCTTTCGACCACTGCCCATGGAGTTCCTCCCCCCACCGCTTAGTAATTGGGGCTTTTTTTCTGGAATGGAGTTCTGGAACCCTTTCGACAAAATTCTTTTTAAAATGATTAAAAGTTCATGAGTTTTCAGTATACAGATTGAAAACTTCATTTCCCTCCTGAGAGTTCCGGCACCTCTTTTTCCAAAAAAATTAAAAGCCCTGGTAATACTTGGAACCTAGCAGTTCGAAAGCAAGAAATTGCAAGTAGATAAATAGGGACCACTTCGGTGGGAAGGTAACAGCGTTACGTGCGCCTTGGTGTTTAGTCATGCCGGCCACATGACCACGGAAACGTCTTCGGACAGCGCTGGCTCTTCGGCGTTGAAACGGAGATGAGCACCGCAACCCTAGAGTCGGACTCGACTGGCTTTCGAGCAAGGGAACCTTTACCTTTACCTAATACTTGGAGAGCCAGTTTGGTGTCGTGGTTAAGTGCACGGACTCTAATCTGGGAGAACCGGGTTTGATTCCCCACTCCTCCACTTGCACCTGGCTGGAGGACCTTGGGCAAGCCGTAGTTCTGATAAGAGGTGTTCTTGAAAAAGAGCAGTTACTGTCAGAGCTTTCTCAGCCCCACCCACCTCACAGGGTGTCTGTTGTGGGGAGGGGAAAGGAAAGGAGTTTGTAAGCCACTCTGAGACACCTTTAGGTAGTGAAGGGCGGGGTATAAATCCAATCTCTTCTTCTTCTTCTTCTTAGCATTTATATATTCTTTACAACAGCCCTGTAAAGTAGGCCATTGTCAGCACTGGATTTATGCACACCCTAAGTAAATAAAAACTTTTTTAATGCTATGGAGCCTCTTGAATTTTCCATAGGTGAAGGCCTTGGCATACCTTAATCTGTCCCTGGCCAGCGCTATTATCCAGGCAGCTAGTGTAGCATAGCATCTAGAGCTGCAGCGCTAAACATGCTCACATATTATTGTTTTTTATGACTTTTTTATCCCACTCTTCCACCAAGGAGCTCAGGATAGTGCACACAGTTCTCCCCTCTTCCACTGTATCCTCACAACAGCCCTGCAAGGTAGGTTAGGTCAAATAAGTAACCACCTGGCTCAGGGTCACCCTATTCCCTCCGGCAAGCGAGTTCTTAAATACTTGCCCCCATATCCACCTTTCCTCACCTCGTTCCAACTTTCCTTTGTTTCTTCCCTTCTCTCTTTAAGGTTATAGATTCAGGTAGATAGCCGTGTTGGTCTGAAGCAACAGAATACGAAAGCTTATACCTAGAATTAAACTCTGCTGGTTTTAAAGGTGCCACTGGACTCACAATGTGTTGCTTCAAATCCACACAGCTAACCACCTGAATCTGATTATTCCAGTTCTTCTGGGAGGAAGACAGATATTGGCTATGCCTAATGGTGAAGGAGCTGCGGTGGTTCAAGTGGTTAAGACGCTGAACTGCAGGCTGTGGAAGGTCGGTAGTTCAGCAGTTCGAGACCCGGGTTGCCGCATGACGGAGTGAGCTCCCATCTCTCGTTCCAGCTCCTGCCAACCTAGCAGTTCGAAAGCAAGAAATCGCAAGTAGATAAATAGGTACCACTTCGGTGGGAAGGGAACAGTGTTCTGTGCGCCTTGGTGTTTAGTCATGCCGGCCACATGACCACGGAAACGTCTTCGGACAGTGCTGGCTCTTCGGCTTTGAAACGGAGATGAGCACCGCAACCCTAGAGTCGGATTCGACTGGCTTTCGAGCAAGGGAACCTTTACCTTTACCTTTTAATGGTGAAGGACCTGACCAGGCGTGGA